GATGTCATCCCACAACTCTTCTGGTCTTCGGTCTTTAGTGTTTAATTCATCAAATCTGTTCTTCAGCTGATCTCTAAATTCAGGAGGGATAATAGGATCTTTCAAATGGGAAACAATTTCTACATAAATTTTAATGTCATTTTATGATGTGAATTTAAGGGAAATGCAATTCAATTTAACAAACATTTACTGTACAGCTACTATGTGCCAGGCACTGACAGGAGATACAGAGATGAATAATGGCCTTACAATTTAATGTAGCAGAACAATATGCATTCAGTTGCTAACAAAAGGGATTATGAAATCTGCACATAGTAACAAACCTGGGACAGATTAGAAACTCAATAAATATTAATCGAAAGATTAAAGGAAGGGCAATATACAGAGGAACAAGCAAAGATCTATGTGTAATATAAGGCCTAAAATTACTGTTCTATATTTTTTGTTACCTTGACATCTGATGAAACTGGGAGGGCCTTATATGGCCTATCTTTAAGTTTTTATCCTCACTCTGCTCCCTTGAGTAAGCACCACTAACCAAATGACCATCCTTATCAAGAGCATCAAGCATGTTCCTGCTTATCCTTGAGTAGCATGTTTCAGTATCCTCCTCACTTGCACAATTGTTCAAACAAGTCAATCATCCTCCTGTGGAAACCCCATGGGAAACACCATCATCATATACTACAAAGCTTGCCTCTCATCTCCCCTGCTTGTACACTCTATACCTGAATGAATATAGAGTCCTGGGAACTCATAGTCTTCTTTGCTTGGGCAGTGAGTATATCTGAACTAATGACCTGCTGGAGTCCTGGTGTGGTGCTGTGTGTTTAAGCACTAGGCAGCAAGGTCAGTTTGAATTACAAGGTTGGAGGTTCAAACACACCAGCTGCTCCTTGGAAACCCTATACAGGGTTGCTATGAGTTGGAACAGATTCATCGGCACTTAACAATAATGACCTGCTGGCAGTCTTGTGGATATATTATGTTCAGTTATCACCCCCATAATCCTTGGGTGGGAATCTGTCATTGAAAAATTGGATGAACACCAAAAAAGAAAACAATCACACACACAAAAAAACAACCACTGCCATTCAGTCGATTCCAACTCATAGCAACCTACAGGATAGAGTAGACCTGCTTCATAGAGTTTAATGAGACTGTACATCTTTTTGGAACAGACAGCCTCATCTTTTTCCCAGAGAGTGACTTTTGAGTTCAAAACATGGACTTTTCGGTTAACAGTCAGTGTTTAACCCACTGTGTCACCAGGTCTTGTTGCTATTGTTAAGTGCCATCGAGTCAGTTCTGACGCATAGTGACCCTGTATAGGGTTTCCAAGGAGCAGCTGGTGAGCTTGACCTTGCCGTTCAAACTGACTTTTCAGTCCAGCACATTAACTCACAGCACCACATCAGGAGTCCAGGTCTTCTTAAGGGTTGAATAAAAGACAATGAGAACACAATGTAGACAACAGAATCTGGGATTCAAACAGTAATAAAGGATTTGTAGAGGAGGCAGCATCTGCCCATGCTCCCTGACGTTTCAGAAGAGCTTTGATAGGAGATATATGGAAAACCTCTGCCATATAGGCAAAGCCAAAGAGGAAAGTTTGGTTGATTTCACAATGGTGAATTATTTGGTATGAATGCTGACAGCTTGCAAGATAAACCTATACAATTCATTAAGACTGCTATTGTAGGATCTTGGTTGCTATTGTAGGAATTGGGAATGTGATTTCTCATTGCACTTCTGCTTCTTGGTTGTATATGTCAAAATTATAATTTTCTAATTTTCAAAACTATATTTTTAATGTTTTTCCCTTGTCCTAGCCTATAAGAACCATGACTTGATTAATCACTGACATATCTATAGCACCTACTACAGATGATGGGCTTTCAAAAATGATTGTTGAGTGAATTGGCAGAAGAAGTATGCTTTCTTAGTTTCTCATTATTTATTCATCATTTCATATGCAAGTGGAGTTTTCTCAGAATATTTGAGTGAATTATATGTAGATTAAAAAAACTTTATTTAGCATAAGTTAAAGTTTTTATTAGCTGGACAGTGAATAGATTAGTTATTTTAAAGAATGATGATGAACCTCAGGATTTTGATGAATAATTGTATGTGCATGAATTGTCAGAGGAAGAGTAGATGTTTCCTTAGTATCTAGGGGACAACAACTTTGATAAGAGGTATGCTCTGCCAACTCGTGTAGATATGGGTTGTGCTTCTCTGTTCAAACTCCCTTTGGTCACAAATGAAAAGGAAATGAGTCGTGTTTTCAGAAAACAAACAAAAAGGGCAAAAATAAGGTTTTTATGTTTTAATTTTATATAATTTAGACAAAGTATTGCTTTACTTCATTTTTTTCCCTTCAGTTTTTAATAAGCAGCAAAGACCTTAAATCCCAAGGTTGCAGTCTACCTGTCAAAATTGAAACTTAGTTTTAAAAGCACTGAAATCCAATTTAACTGTTGTATTCTTTTGTTTAATTATATTTCCTATTACTGATGATTACTGAGTTACTATCTGACTACATTCAAGACATTTTTCCTCATTAGCCTGCCATCTATCCCTCCCTGCCTACAAGTAATAGAAACAAGAGTCTTCTAATTTTATGACTCCATGTAGCTAGCATGTCTTAAACATAAGCACGTCATACCATCTCTCAGGCTCTGGATTATTGGTTATTGGTACAAAGAGCTCATGGACAATAATATCAGGAAGCTATTCCATGCACTTCTATCTGCTAGCTATATTTTTTTCAGTTCACTCCCCCCGCACCCCCCAATAGACAGTCCTGGATAAATGGTCTCAGTGACTGATCCTCAGAGAAAAAGCAACACTGTTGTTATTCTGAGAGGTCACTGCTTTGATTCTAACTAGCCCCTGATGGCAGACACATTCAGATCTGTGCAACATGAATATGGAGCAAATACAGAAACGGCCTAGCCATGAACATTTTTTAACAGACAAATGTGTTCACAGGGCTCCCCAGGGTGTACTCCCAACATCAAACACTCAAAGCAGCCATCTGGTTTCACTATTCCCCAAAGTGCCTCCTTATATCTCCCTTAAAGTTTCAACTCCTTTTGTACATGTTTTTCAAGTATTACCAAGACTTAGAACCATTACCAAGGGATGGTTTTTAAAGTCTTTTTCAATTTTTAACCAATGAAACATAATGAGATCATATGGGTCATGTCTATAGGTAATTTTAGTGATGGAACTGTAGATGCAAAGGACTTGTTAAAAAGTTTGGCCTATACCTCTAATCCAGAGTAAAGTTTGCCCAGGGCAAGCTGAGCATTCCTAGTGTTCCCAGGAGGGCAGTCCAAATCAGTTTCCTGTTCCAATGATACCATTCTTCAGGTACATCAATAATATGGATTTATCATAAATTGTAAAATAAAGAATTCAAGTAAAAGGCCTGTTTTGTATATACTTCTGGATACATGTTTTCTACCACACTGAGGCAGATGTAACTTTTTTCATAGCTAGAAATTTTAAAAAGTTAAAATAAAAAATGAATGAATGAATAAATGAATGAATGAATGAATGAATGAATGTTCAGGGTAATTTTTAAGGGACTCAATTTCCAGAGATTTTTATCCTTTTTGTATAGTGTCTATTTAAACAGTGAATAGCTTTCAGTGGTTTTTATTTCCCTTCTGAACCCTGGTGGTGCAATGATTAAAGCACTTAGCTGCCAAATTAAAGATCTGAAATTTGAAACCACCGGCCACTCTGTGGGAGATAGATGAGACAGTCTGCTTCTCTAAAGATTTATAGCCTTGGAAACCCTATAGGGCAGTGCTATTCTATCCTGCAGAGTCACTATCAATCAGAAATCTCTACATCCTGAGTAACTTTATATTGTTTGCTTTGGATGGTAATATGATAATCTCATAAAAAAGATACTTAAGAAAAAAGATGTTGTTGCTAAGTGACATACAGTTGGTTCCAATCATAGCTACCCTGTATAAGGTTTACCAAGGAGTGGGACTGGTGGGTTTGAACCACTGACCTTCTTGTTAGGAGTCCAGTGCTTATCCTACAGCACCACACCAGGACTCAAAGAAAAAAAGAGAGAGAGGCTTTATACCTTTTCTGGGACAAATGCAAACCTTGAGCTCTTCAAGAACATTTAATTTTTTTTTTTTTTGAAATAAATAGGTTATTTCTTTAAGATCCACATAAATAAGGTTTATTGATGTTGCAAATACAAGAGATTTAGAAAAAGGATATATATTTATCACTGCCAAAAACTGAAATGATCAAATCCATGCAAGGATTAAACATTGCAGTGCAAACCTCCATCAAGTGGAGCTGATTCTCTTCAGTGAATCTATAGAAACCAAGTAACTTAAGAAACAGCTACAACTGATGTGAAAACATAGCCAAGTTAGGAGATTAGGGGCCTTCTAGGTGAGACTGGTAATGACAAAGAAGGTGACTTACAGTGGACTGTGATGGCTGTTGAAGCATTCATGCTTTTTTTGTCTACCAGGGAGCATTTGTAGTCTCCTGTTGCATTGCGCCTCACATCTGTCAGCGTGTAAGCATTTGAACTTCTTATTCCTTCGGTCTGGCCCTTTTGATAGAAGCAAAATGTCAGATGATTACGCTTAGGAGCTACAATGAGAACAGTTATATTTCTTGATGAAGATGGTATTTTCTCAAATAAGAAAAAAAGGGAAAATGTGTTTCTTTGATTGGAAAAACAAGCTACATGTTTCTGATACTGGGAGAAATGATTACTATTTTAGTTCTAAGGAAGTTGAGGAGCTAATTTATACTGTATTCAGGATATCCATTTTATTCACAACATGTTTTGTGTTTGTGTTTTAAAACAGATTTTTTAAAAGTCCCAATATTTTCTTTTATTTTTATGCCTTGAATAGCTCTGCTGAAAGATCTGAAGCAGCTTATAGAAAATATGCCAAAGATCATATTATATTTTTTAAAAATAAATGAAAGAAGGTAAGAAAAAACAGAGAAAGAAAATGAAGTAAAAGAAAGTAAAAAATATATATATATAAAAATAATTGAGGCCAGAAAGCATATAGATTATCTAGACATATATATTAACAAGAATAGGCAATCAATAGGTACTTTTCCTAAAACTGAGATACAAATGTGTCTATGACTTCCCTGATATCCAAAGTGGGAACATAATTAGTTTCAAAATTTTATTTGTATATGAGAAAACAAACCAGCATGCCAGTTTAGTAAGAGAAATAGAGTTTGTAGAACAATTTAAGTCTCAAGGAAATTACTTGTATTAGTATTTTGTCTAAGATATTGGATGATATTCATAAAAAGAACTGAGTAATGTAGTGCATGGAATTCATACGTATGTTCCTATTATGATGTAAGTGCATCATTAGGTTATATACATCCCTCTGTGTAAGGAGTCAAACCCAAACCTAGGAAGGCAGTTCTTTGAGAGAGCAAACATGTAACCTCTGACAGAACTCTCTCGAAGTCGGGCTCCATCCTACTGTTGCATCTAGAACACATTCTAGAACAGGGGAGGGGAACCTTTTTTTCTGCCAAAATTTATAACATAATTCTTGGGCCATATAAAAATTATTAACTTAAAAATTTGGTTGCTATATTTGGTCAAACAATTAACTCACCCCTAATGTGATGGCTGAACTGAGGTTACCTTGGCAGAGCCAGACCAAATGATTTCCTGGGCCTTCTACAGCCTGAGGTTTGGACATTCCCCACCCCTGTTTTAGAGGAATGTTCCAAGCATTCTTCTATATATATCATGTGCTGTGAGATGAATAAATATTGAGGAAGTGACATTTCAGGATTATTTTAATCTCTGACTAGAAGTGACCACGGCTTTACTAGATCAACCTACAAATCATTTGCAATGGAACTGTCCATACATGAAAGGATCAGAGGCATGGTCAGGATGTAGGCAGGTTTAGAATCCACATCAGACCTTCCTGCTGTCATCCTTTGCTTTTGAAAATCAGCTTCTTGTAGCTTCTTTGGGTAATTAAACCTCAAGTTTTGTAATTATGGTTCCCTGTGGGTTTTTCTCATTGTTCCTGAAAACTCTTTAACATTGAGAAAAAAGGGAAAAGATTGAAAACCTTCAAAAACACATTCTACAGATATTCCTAGAATAACACCCCCTTTCATTTGTGCTATTTAAGTACATAAATTCTTAATGTCATCCAGATACCAAACAACACAACAAAATTTTAGTAGTCACCTCAAGTATTAATATTTAAGCACTTACTGGTAAGTAAAATAAAAATTCCTCAGGAGGTGGGTTACCATTTCCCAAGCATCTAAGAGTAATGTTGTCTCCTTCTTTGATGGCACTTTTTGGTGGCAGCACTTGTATTGTCACCTGTTCAGTAGGATCTGCAGGAGTCACAGACACGTTAACCATTTTCATCAAATACCAAATAACTTTGTACATACAATGCAAATGACTAAATTACAAACACTTTGTCAAGAATTTAGTAATGGTAATGAAATGCATCTCTTTATAGGTGGACTCAAATTAGTTACGGTGTTGGTTATGTGCCTTGGAGTTGATTCAAACTCATAGCGACCCTGCATAGGCTGTCCAAGACTGTAAATCTTTATGGGAAAAGGCAGCCTCATCTTTCTCCCACAGAATGGCTGACAGTTTTGAACTGCTGACCTTGAGGTTAGCAGCACGACTTGTAACCACTTTGCTACCAGATTCCTTGGTGGTTATGTGCTTTAAAGTCGGTTCGGACTCAGAGTGACCCTGTATAGGGTTTTTGAAGCTGTAAATCTTTATGGGAGCAGAAAGCCTCATCTTTTCCTGAAGAATAGCTGATAGTTTCAAACTGCTGACATTGCAGTTAGCAGCCTGACTCATAAACCACTACACTACCAGAGCTATTTAGTATACCAAGTTACTAATATACTAATATTGGTATGGGGAAACTACAGACACATAAAATTATAAAAAGTCAACTTCCTCTTAGCAAAATATCTTCAGCTGAAGTAGGAATGACCATAATTATTTTATGTGTTTAAGATAAGTAAGACCAATCTCACTGTGTGATTTCATTATAAGAAATTTACACTATATTATTTGAACCTTACAGTTTGGAAATACTGAATCAGCTAGCAAAGTAGCTTAAGCTATTAGGCACCACTGAACTCACATTATATAATAACAACTTACATTAAATTAAAAGAAACATGAACTCGACAATACCAGCAAGATTTTTGACATTCAGAATACTAGATATAATTTTTAAAATATGAATCCCATGAAATGTCGGAACCCCTCAACACAACACCACTGTAAATGCATTCTTATTCTGTCCTGTTCACTGGAGTCAACATGCAACTTTCTTTCTATTTTGATAATTTTTTACGGAGAAAATAGGACTAAAGGGTATTCTTTAATACAAGCTGCTGCTCAACAGTAGAATGCAAAAGAAATCAAAGGCTGGAGGGATAATACCTAGCAAACAGGAAATAAAACGGGTGGTGGTGGTGACATTTATTAATGACCTGCTTTCTAACTTATATTGGTTGTTGTTGTTAAGTACCATAAAGTAGATTCCAACCCATAGTGACTTTGTATAGAGTTTCCAAGGAGCGGCTGGTGAGCTTGAACGACTGACGCTGCAGCTCAAATGACTTTGTAGTCCAGCGCATTAACCCACAGCACCACACCAGGGCACCTCTAACTTATCTAAAAGTTGTATAATACAACAAGAAATGAATTATGAAATCATACAAGGCACAAGATTTAGTAATTCCTTATTTCTCCTTATTCAGACATGAGTCTATATTTCCAACCTAGTAGCACTACAAAAAATCTACCTAGAAAGACCTATTTTTGTTATTATCTAGTAAACTAAGACACACATATTTGCAGGCTGTTTCCTATTTTTGGACTAATATCTTTCTGAGATTAAAGGATAGAAAATATTTTGAACAGCTGTTATCAATTGCTTTTCATCTTCTCTCTGTGCTTGGACATCTCAGAAAATTTAGTCAAATGTTTTCAAACTAGAGTGACAGGTTTACTATGCTTCTTGATTCATTGTCAGAAAATTTCTTGGCCAGCAGTCCCCAAAAATCTTGGAAAGTAAATAAAATTATTTTTGGTCTCCCACTGGCCTCCCATTTTTAGGTTTCCTTACTCTTTTCCATGACTTTTCAATCACTAGTTTGCTCTGTCCTTGTACATCCCTAATTATGACTGACACAAAAACAGCCTGAGGACACAATCTGTCTGACTTCCTCCATGATTTAAAAATTCCCTATGTTCTATTTTTCATTCTTTCCTTTTTAAAATCAGAGGCTAAGAAAAAAAAAAAATCAGGACTTTAGAAAATAATGGTGCTGGTGATAGAAATGATGCTGGATATATTTCTTCAACATCAATGGTTTGTTCATTTAAATGCCTTCTTTAGACAGCATAACAGAAGACTATACAGATGGACCTTACCAGATGGAATACATAGAAATCAAATTGACTACATCTGTGGAAAGAGACGATAAAAAAGCTTCATATCATCAGTGAAAACAAGGCCAGGGGCAGACGGTGGAACAGACCATCAATTACTCATATGCAAATTCAAACTGACTGAAGAAAATGAAAACAAGTCCA